ATTACCTAGACAATCTTTTTTAATTTCTTTTACATGACTTGACTTGTTATTTACTTTATGTAAGAGTGACATCTGAAAAACAGAAATAATTGTGTTGTACATATCAATGATAACAAAGAGCTAAAAAATTTCCTAAACATCAAACATAATTATATATATAATTACTGGTTTTACATTATTGGTAGTAAATTTTATAGCTTTTTAAGTTTAGTACCATACACAGTAAGTCTACTGAAATAAATTATATGAAGAACTAATAAACAGCTGCGCCACGAGCGCATGCTACGCCCGTCGTCTTGTGTGTGAGGTTTTATGCAATAATCATATCTGAGATACGGCACGACATGTGAAACCCCCCCCCCTTTTTTTTTTACAAAAAACTCAATAACTCTAAAATTAAATTTTGAATCATTACCAAAAAGTATACAGATCTTGAGATTAATATAACTAAGAAGTGTGTAAAGTATTAAAAGCAATAACCATAAATCGTTTTTGAGATACCGCGCGACATGTGAAAACAAGTAAAACTGTGAGCTACTGCTCACTGATGATACCCCCGCCGAAATATTTCAGTAAACAGGAAGTTGTTGAGTGATGAATCTGAAAAGGCATCACAGGGTATAGCTGACTTATATAAACCCTGAAACCAAATTTCAATAAAATGCTTCGCTGAGCGCAGCCTGATACGACCGCAGAGGTCGAACCCTGAACAGTTGGGGCAAATTTGGACACAATATTCAAGCTTGATACTGTCTGAATTTTGATTGTGATCAAATTTTTGACATAATATAGGTTCCTGATACAAAATAAATGTGGTCAAAGATCTTATAAAACCATTGCGCATTACTGTGCAATTGAAGATTCGAAATTTTAAAAATTTTGAAAAAAAAATATGAATCCTTTAAAAAAATGTGGAAAAAAATCACCCCCCCACCCCCCCCCCCCCCCCCCCCCGACCCAACTTTTTGAAACCCCCCTTGGAACAATAACCCCAAAACTCAATCCCAGCCTTTCCTTTGTAGTATGGAACCTTGTAGTACAATTTCAGAGATATCCATACACTTACACACAAGTTATTGTCTAGAAACAAGAAAAATACTTGTTTTTGGCCCCTAATTCCTACATATTTAGGCCAATTAACCCCAAACTCATTCCCAGCCTTCCCTTTGTTATATGGAACCTTGTGGTAGAATGTCAGAGAGATCCATATACTTACACACAAGTTATTGTCTGGAAACTAGAAAAATGCTTGTTTTTGGCCCCTTTTTGGCCCTTAATTCCTATACTGTTGGCCCCATAACCCCTAAAATGAATCCCAACCTTCTACTTGTGGTATTAAACATTGTGGTACAATTTCAGAGCAACCGAAATATTATACACAAGTTATTATCCTGAAACTAGAAAAATGCTTTGGGCCCCTAATTCCTAAACGGTTGGGACCATCATCCCCAAAATCAATCCCAACCTTCCTTTTGTGGTATTGAATGTTCTTCAAAAATTTCATAGAGATCCATTCACTTAAACTAAAGTTATTGTCCGGAAACCAATGTGTCTTCGGACGAAGACGCAGACGACGACGCCATCATACGATCCCAAAAAATTTTTTGCGGTCGTATATAAATCCTTGTCCAGTAGTTCCTGAGAAAAATGTGACGAAAATTTTCAACTTGGCTATCATGTGTAAAATAATACAAGTGTTCAGTAAACAGGAAGTTGTTGAGTGATGAATCTGAAAACGCATCACACGGTATAGCTGACTTATATAAACCCTGAAACCAAATTTCAAAAATCCTTGTCAAGTAGTTCCTGAGAAAAATGTGACGAAAATTTTCAACTTGGCTATCATGTGTAAAATAATACAAGTGTTCGGTGAACAGGAAGTTGTTGAGTGATGAATCTGAAAACGCATCACATGGTGTAACTTACTTATATAAACCCTGAAACCAAATTTCAGAAATCCTTGTCAAGTAGTTCCTGAGAAAAATGTGACGAAAATTTTCAACTTGGCTATCATGTGTAAAATAATACAAGTGTTCGGTAAACAGGAAGTTGTTGAGTGATGAATCTGAAAACACATCACACGGTATAGCTGACTTATATAAACCCTGAAACAAAATTTCAGAAATCCTTGTCAAGTAGTTCCTGAGAACTAGAGGCTCTCAAGAGCCTGTGTCGCTCACCTGTATTTACTGATGCTTTGGAAATCATGTAAAATAAGGTTAAAATCATAATTATTGCGAACCCAATGAAAGTTTTCCACAGTGCCATCTCTATCTTGACCAGGTATTTAAACTTTTGCAAGTTCACCTGTCCTATTGAATAGATACAATAGCTATTGTTCTCTGTGTAGTTTATTCTCTGGGACCTTTAAATTTCTTCTAAGAGAAATCTATCATTCATTGATTAAATTACCTGAGTAAAAAAAATTTCTTATATATAGACAAAAATACTGTTTTTATACTCATTAACTGCGTGTGATGATGTAGTTATTCAATATTATTAATATATTTTCATTCAGTTTAATATAAACATTGATTCAATCATAAAAATTTGATTTCTGACAAAACTTTCAACATTGTTCCTTTTAAAAAAAAATTTGTTTGACATGAATAAGAACTTGAAAATAATGATGTTTCAAATTAAGATCTTCTTAAATGTATTCTATAACTTAACAAAAAAAAATCAAATTTCAATAGGAACATTGATAAAACTTTTGTTAGAAATCAACTTTTTATGATTGAATCAATTTTAATATTAAACTGAATGAAAATATATTATAAATATTGAATAAATACATCAGCACACGCAATTAATGAGTATAAAAAAAGTATTTTTGTCCAAATATAAGAATTTTTTTTTACACAGGTAATTTAATCAATGAATGATAGATTTCTCTTAGAAGAAATTTAAAGGTCCCAGTGAATAAACTACACAGAGAAAAATAGCTATTGTATTCATTCAATAGGACAGGTGAACTTGCAAAAGTTTGAATACCTGGTCAAGATAGAGATGGCACTGTGGAAAACTTTCATTGGGTTCGCAATAATAGTATTAGATATTAGATATTATAATGATATCTAAGATAATAACAAAAAACTGCAAAATTTTTGTAAAATTACTAACTCAGGGGCAGCAACCCAACAACGGGTTGTCGGATTCGTCTGAAAATTTCAGGGCAGATAAATCTAAATCTGATGAACTTTTTTGCCACCTGTCAGATTTGCTCTAAATGCTTTAGTTTCAGAGATATAAACCAAAAACTGCATTTTACCCCAATGTTCTATTTTTAACCAAGTCGGCCATGATGGTTGGAAGGCGGGGTCATCGGACAAATTTTTTAAAGTAGATACCCTAATAATGATTATGGCCAAGTATGGTTATATTTGTCTCAGTAGTTTCAGAGAAGAAGATTTTTGTAAAAGATTACAAAAATTTACAAAAAATTGTTAAAAATTGACTATTAAGGGCAATAACTCCTAAAGGGGTTGACTGACAATTTTGGTCATGACAACTTATTTGTAGATCTTACTTTGCTGAACATTATTGCTGTTTACAGTTTATCTCTATCTATAATAATATTCAAGATAATAACCAAAAACTGCAAAATTTCCTTAAAATTACCAATTCAGGGGCAGCAACCCAACAACCGGTTGTCAGATTTGTCTGAAAATTTCAGAGCAGATAGATCTTGACCTGATAATCAGTTTTACCCTATGTCAGATTTACTCTAAATGCTTTGGTTTCAGAGATATAAGCCAAAATCTACATTTTACCCCTATGTTCTATTTTTAGCCATGGCGGCCATCTTGGTTGGTTGGTAGGGTCATCAGACACATTTTTTAAACTAGATACCCTAACAATGATTGTGGCCAAGTTTGGTTAAATTTGGCCCAGTGGTTTCAGAGGAGAAGATTTTTGTAAAAAGCTAACGACGACGGACGCCAAGTGATGAGAAAAGCTCACTTGGCCCTTCGGGCCAGGTGAGCTAAAAAATGTGACGAAAATTTTCAACTTGGCTATCATGTGTAAAATAATACAAGTGTTCAGTAAACAGGAAGTTGTTGAGTGATGAATCTGAAAACGCATCACACGGTATAGCTGACTTATATAAACCCTGAAACCAAATTTCAAAAATCCTTGTCAAGTAGTTCCTGAGAAAAATGTGACGAAAATTTTCAACTTGGCTATCATGTGTAAAATAATACAAGTGTTCGGTGAACAGGAAGTTGTTGAGTGATGAATCTGAAAACGCATCACATGGTGTAACTTACTTATATAAACCCTGAAACCAAATTTCAGAAATCCTTGTCAAGTAGTTCCTGAGAAAAATGTGACGAAAATTTTCAACTTGGCTATCATGTGTAAAATAATACAAGTGTTCGGTAAACAGGAAGTTGTTGAGTGATGTATCTGAAAATGCATCACACGGTGTAACTTACTTATATAAACCCTGAAACCAAATTTCAGAAATCCTTGTCAAGTAGTTCCTGAGAAAAATGCAACGAAAATATTCATGGGACAGAAAGATGGACTGACGGACTGACAGACTAAAGGAAGGACAGACAGAGGTAAAACAGTATACCCCCCCCTTTTTTAAAGCGGAGGTAAAATGACAAACAAACTTTACAAATCGCATTAAGGCTCTGCACAACAGGACTAGAATGCAATTTATCGGATTTGTCCGAACAATACCACTGATTTGGAAGCCCTGGTTTAACCTCACATTTTGCGCCTGCACCAAGTGAGGTTACCTTGATCATGTGTTGTTTGTTGTTATCTTTGCTTGTTGGTCTATTTTTCTGGAGAAGTCTGTGGTTTATTGTACTGTCCATAATCCTGTCATTCTTTTAATCATAGGAAAGTCAAGAAAGAACACCATGCACATTTCTCTTACAAGCTAAGTTTTGTACAAATCTTTATCATTTATGTTTTCTAATTTCCATGAGTTTCTTTGTTTTAAAATTGAGGTGAGGAAGACTTTGCCATTGTCACTCTAGCTCTTATACATCCAATTTTTGATAAATTGTTGTTTTATTTACCTCAGATGTGAGATAAAGCAACTTTTTAATGATGACTGTTCCTAATACTCCAATCTTCCTATTAGTTGTTGAACCAGGACTTGTATTAGAGTCTATGTGTAGTAATTCCTCAAATCTGAACAGCATTACATCCAAAGGTTCCTCATATGTACTGAAAAAATTCACACAAGTAATACACCCTCATTGATTTGATTACTGACACAATGTTTCCACAACGTAAATATGGGTGGAAAACAGCATAAATTTTAGCCTTCTTTTACATTTTCATGAGACCTTATGTCGCAATTGTGACACCATAAAATCAAAAATATTGCATAAGGGCTATTCCATTAAAAAGGAGGTACTAGGGTCGGAAGGCAATTTTTAAGTACACCCATGACCAAGAGGAATGTACCATGTATCTTAACACCAACCAACAGGAAGTGGTTTCATAATAATACAAGAACCAACTGGAATATATCTAACTTATTTTATTCTAATTTACCACAACCAAAGGAATTGTTATTTAAACATTATAGTTGCTGGACAATTTAGAGGGGGTGGAAGGGTCAAGGAGTACAATGTTTGGTTATTACTATGATATAAAGGGCTATTTGTAACTCTTTTTTTTTATATTGTTCAATTCATACCCGAGTATACAATTAAAGTAATAGTTCAAATTCAAAGCTGTTTAAATGTATCATATCTAGTTGCATTATTATATTAGTTCCTTTGTAAAAATAAAGTAAGAAACTTCCAGATTTTTACTGGCCGTTCAAAATTGAGATGAAATGACCTCTTGGAATTGTAGATATATGTATACTCTATAAAAACATCTACATGTAATATCAAGATTTATTAATGATAAAGAAAATTACTGTCACATTTCATTGGATTTTGACATGAAAATTTGTGAACTGAAAGTTATTTTGAGTTTCTGTATAAAATATTTCATGCTTTTTCTTTCTTTTCCATATATCTTTTGGTTTTCAATTCTAGTGTTTATATTTCATCATCATAGATGTATTTTGTCACCTGCCTGGAATTATTATTTTTTTTATTGTATTTGATCGGCAAACCCGGAATTATCCTTATCATCTTCATTTCCGGTTTATGGCATCCATTGTTTTTCAATGTTGTTTTTGTCAGTCAGATACGATTTTACTCGTATTTACACATTACTTGTTCGCAATTTTCAGTATAAAGCTAGCGGTTGAACAAACTGAGCATCGCTGTCATGAATAATAAAGATAAAAATAAATTTTGAGATCCTTTGGAAGTTTGTGTCCCAAATTGAAAATTGGGAAAAACGTATTTATTTGAATTGCCAATAGGAATGAGTCCGGTATTTGGACCCTGTGGAATGCTAGAAAAATCCCTGGAGGGTGTACGATCTCAATAGTAATATGGCTTTAAAATGACCATACTGATGGTTAAAAAGGTCGTCAAAGTTAATTTTTATTTTCTTTCAAATCGAAGGTCCGTTGGGCCTAGCCAATAAACAAACGAAAGTCCGATTGCAATAGTGGAAGGTCGAGGACCTCGGACCACCGCTAATTTGAATCTCCGAATATTATTTTCAATAGAATTTGACATCGTTCACCATGTGCTTGTCATTAAAGGGAAGTAACTCTTGCACTTCCGGAACTGGTACCATAGGTAGAATACAACGTTGCGCCTGCCGCTGCGTAAGTCGCAGGAACAGTTATGTTTTCCAAAATATCACGATAAGTGCAGGAGACAAAAACAATCGGTTATAGAAGTCCTTGCAAAAACAAATAATAATAAATAACGGAAAATAACACATTGAAACCGACAGTCACAAAAAATGACTGTCAAAGAAGACCAACAACCAACAATACTTAGTTTATCTAAACACCAAGGGCCATACATGCTTCAACACATCAACAACCAACGGGATTTTTTATAATTGCCGTCCGACCCTGGTACATCCTTTTTAATGGAATAGCCCTAATTCATTTATATTTCTTGATCTTTTTCATTTCCCTACATTATGTGCGAATTTGAAATAGTACTCAAGAGCCAAAAAAAAAATGACTTATTGCCCTTTCTACTTTAGGTCAAACAGTCAAGACTACACTAAATGTGAGTTACTACTCAATAAATGCATCCTAGCTCCATAATTGTAGGTATTAAAGTAACCAGTTTTGATTAAATTTTAGCTAAAGCATGTGTATTTAGGTTGCCCCTCTTTTTTTTAATAGCAGACCGCCCATCTTTCAAATCTATGGAGGACATCCCAATGAGTGGCTTTGACCTTGTACTAGAAATCCTCCAATATGTAAAATCTCTACCTCAATACAGGCATTTGAAGAATTTCAAATGGCATTTGAGAACATATGCACTTATTCAAAATTATTGTACAAAAGATTAAAAAACACTTATAACATGAATAAGAGGTGCATTATGTGCCCTTGTGCTTAAAATCACACATGAACACTTCGAGAAATGGGCCGGTATATAGAAGCTTTCAGTGACTACAGTCATCAAATCACAAAATATGTACAGGGTAATGGATTTTGACATTTTGAAAGCTAATAGTTTGGAATTATCAAATGTTTTTTGTCAATGATTCAAAAATTGCATTACCAATACAGTACAAAGAATTTCAGCTGCATAATAAATATTTTAAATACCCAAGCTATTGAAAAATGATATTTGTGGTCTTCAATTTACTGACAATTAACAGATATACTTTAATTGCACTACGATCCATGGCCAGAAACAGTTGGTTTAGTAAAATTTAACTGTTGAAATTAGACTTTATCAATTTACTTCAATTGAAACAACCATTTGGAAATGTATTGACTATATCTAACATGCCAACAAGTTAATAAACAAACATGAACAATGTTAAAAAATTTATAAAACAAAAGAAAACAATAAAATCAATAACAAACTCTGCTTTGTTTCTTACAGTTGTCTTCAAAAATTCATCATAATATTTATCACAGTATTTATGCTAAAGTTTTTTAATGGTAGATTCAGATGTAAGGTCAACGGCAACACATTGTTATGAATTTTCTTCCTACTCTCTAGAAAACTGTGTTTGAATATTTAATGTAATCTATCCAATTTTCAAAATTGTCTGTTGTTAAGGTAGATAGGTGTCTTCCTCCATCTTGGATTTTGAAATACCAGAAAACAATCGGTCTAAATCTATAATAAAAGGTGCAAATTTTGAGAGTAGTAGGTAATTCATGTGTAAGAATTTTCATTTCAATATAGAAAATGACATATTTTATCATATTTATGGTTGTATTTTACAAAAAAACAGAATACTTTTGTTTGATTCTATTTTTTCCAACTTTGCCACATAAGGGGAGGCAACTCAAATGTAAGGGCAGATAATTCACATAAAGTTACTTTTACAATAGAATGTGTTAGGAATTTGCCTATTTTATTATGTAGCAAGAAAACTGGTCCAGTGACCCCATTTTTTCTTTTTCTTATCTGAAAGCATACTATTAGAGCTATCTTCTCATATTTTATCTCAAAATTCTATGGTGTAGTTTTCATTTTATGTCAGAAAATTGGGTTTTCCATGCATAATCTATACAAAATCTGTCAATTTTGCACAACCTGTAGCGTGAAAATAAGGCCCGTGACCCATTCTTTTTATTATTTTTTTAAAAAAAGCATGATATAAACTACATTTTGGCAAATTATTAAAAAATTCTATGGATTATAATTGAGACACCCCATCTACCTTAAACAATTTACTACCTTAATTACTTAATCAATTTTAATATGCACTCTGAAAAATGCACAGCAAAATATACCATAATTTTTTTCTTGCAATTTTGAGATGACATTCTTAAAGGGCATATGGTACAGATTTGATCCTACTAATTTTTGTACTTAATTTGCATACAATAAAATTGAGAATGGAAATGGGGAATATGTCAAAGAGACAACAACTCAACCAAAGAGCAGACAACAGCCGAAGGTCACCAATGGATCTTCAATGCAGGGAGAAAATCCAGCACCGGGAGGTGGTCCTCAGCTTTTTTTCACCTATAAAAATCGGATGTGGTATGATTGCCAATGAGACAACTCTCCATCAGAGACCAAATGACATAGAAGGTTAGCAACTATAGGTCATTGTACAGCCTTCAACAATGGGCAAAACCCATACCGCATAGCAATCTATAAAAGACCTCGAAATGACAAATGTAAAACAAATCAAACGAGAAAACTAACAACCTATAATGTATGTACAAAACAGTAAACCAAAAAACAAATATGTCAATTCAAGTATGTAATGAAAAAAAAACATACCTTTGTTTGTTACATTGAGGGATAAATGGGGTTGAAATTTTAAACATGTTCAAGGTCATTTTGTGTAATAATTCTTTGGAAATTATTCATTTTAATTAACTTTCATGATTTTAGAAAAAAATCTGCAAATCTTGCTATTTGTTCTAAAGTTCATTTTTATATACTTCCATAAACATTATTGTTTTTCTTTGCAGTTGCTTTCAAATTGACGCAGGCTGTTGTCTGTGTATTTTCCGCATATTTTTGGATGTTTAATATGCAACAACACCAGAAATTTTGATGCAATATAATCTGCCCTTGCCTGCATTGTAAATCTACTGTACCTTTCCCTGAAATCTACACGTTTATCATACAGATGTTGCAATCCTTCAGGAATGCTTCTCTGGAAATGGGCTAAAATTGCCTCATAAAATGGACCAAATCTATTTTCTCCCATTAAGTTAATCATAACATTGTCATTGCAGTCTGTTCTCTCTTTCCTTAGTTTAATTGATCTCATGCTAATTTGTCCTTCATGTGGTGTATAATTTTTCTCAACAAAATTTCTGAAAATGAAATTGAAACATGTAATTCATAGCCATTACAAAGGATAGTCAATATATGGGATTTATCATAACTGATATGGGCACCAACAACTATTTATTAAATCACTGACTTTTGCATTTAGTTTAAATTACTAGCTACTAGTAAGATACATAACTTATAGCACTGTCTATAATTTACAAACCTAAAGTTTAAGTTGTAATATGTTCAAATAATGCTTTTGAAAATATCCAGTAAAGCTCAACACTGCATGGCAGATTTTTGTAGGATTCTTGAGCACATGCTCATTTTTCAAATATTTTGTGTTTTTTTTTTTTATTGAATAAGGTGTTAAAAATCTTCTTCAATCTCCAATTAGTAAGGAAAACATTTTTCATTTCAAAGAAAAACCTTTTTGCCAATCAAGTGAAAATTAGTGTCTCTTCCCTCACAGAAATCTGAGGTCTAGTATTGCACGGAACTTTGCTTACCAATGGAGGAATAATAATCCATGTAAGTATACCATTATATCAACATCCCATCTTCTACTCTGTCATAGAAGGGAGAGAAAAGTCACTGGATATATAGAATAATAGCATTTTTGTTTTTGATACTGACTTTATTAACAAGAATATCAAAAAAGTCTGCTAGGGCCAGCTGATTTTCAAGCTGATAAAGCCAGTTTAAAAAAATAAAATGCCATTATTCTCTTTATCAACAATTTATATTAACAATTTGTTTTTTTTTGTTGAGAATATGAAATAAAATGAAATAGTTAGTAAAACTATTTTTACACGTACATAACGTTGTGAAATTCTTTGGTGGTAAATGAAGTTGTGTGCATTTCATTTATAAATTGACGCAGATAGACACGAACATGCGATGTTGCTGCACTGATACGTGACATCACTGCCAAATATTTTTCGAGTATCAGGTCCTGTAAGTGGTCTTGAAAATTTTTAAGTAGTGTGATCAAAGGGAAAATGTACAAATTGCTGATAATAAGGAATTATTTTGTGTTTTTCATTCTTCTTACCTATTATACTTTAAAGCTACAGATAGCATCTTCTCCCTGATTGGTCCATTACAAGAAGCAATAAATAAACTGAACCATCTTTCAATATCCAACATAAATATCCTTTCCGATGTATTTAGTTGGTCTTTTACTGAAATCATATCATGAAGGTGAGATGTTGTCAAAAGACATTTATCAAAACCATTACCAAGGGTCATTTACTGTCACCTGGTAATTCAATCAGTTAACAGCTTGTGGAAATACAACATAAAGCAGTTCATTTTATACTTATTATGTTAACATAATTTTGAAAGAATTCAGTTTTTCTTGATTCGATTTAAAAAGGTAAGTTTAATGTTCCTTATTTTTTTCAAGGTGTCGTGAGAACACACGAGAGCTGAGACATTAATTAATATTTTTTTAAACATAAAGATGGAAAATTTAAATGAGTAGGGGCCAAGGCTTCCAAAACGGTCATATATTCCGGACATTTGTATAATGTACGGTAAAAGTCTGGCTGGGCAAAGCATGAAACGGACATCTACTGTTTAGTTTTCAAGGCTTAAGAGACGGTCATTTTCACATAATTCGTGTTCTTTTTGACCCAACCTTTTGCCTTTAACAGCCACACATTTCCGGTCATAAAAGTGACATGATCATTAAGTACTATCAAAACAACCCCTACTTTAATACCTTCTCATTTTAATCAAGGCTAATTAGTTGTCGAACAGCTGAAATTTACTGTTCAGGTGACGGGTAAACTATTTTGAACCGGACATTGATCGGTCTATTCAAAGTTATTTTCTTACATTTCAGCGGTTTGCATCTAATTAATTTAGGAAAAAAGATTTACATTATCAGAAATACGTTTACAAATATGATTTGATGAAAAAATTAAAAAAGGTGAAAATGAAAAATCGTCATAACCACGTTGTTTGAACCAGAGACATGTCTGTGTTTGAACTAGTACACGTGTGCGCATGTGCGCAGGTGTGAAATTTAATTATGCATCCTAATTTCTTCAAAAAATGCTTAAATTGTCATTGATACCTTTATCTCACGTTTATTTCGAATATTTTCTTGAAGAAATAACGTAGAAAGAGCTACTTACACTCATTCATGATTTGCAAACGTACACGGAATTTACGTATCCGTCTCTGGTCCATGTTTTACCATTGTCAAGATAACATCTGGTTTAGATTTAAAAAGGAAAGTAAAGTTTTTGACAACGTTATTTTGCACAAATAAAGAGTCTAAGCAGATATAAGTACGCTGATGTTGCACACTTCGAATGATGCACTGCCAATTTAACAGTTTACGTCAGAACTTCAAATTTGAATCAAAGAAAGTTTAATATCGGTTTTTTTTAATGTCAATCATTGGGATGGCCAACTCGGCAACTGATTACCATCATTGCCTTTTATTTATTTAGTCTTAAGGGATTAAAATCGGGATAATATATAAAATGTCCGGCTGGCTAAAAATAATTTTGGAAGCCCTGGTAGGGGCATTAATGCCCATGTTTAGACTAAGAAAATGAAGTTTTTTAGATCTATTTCTAATTTGCACATTATATACATGATATATGGAAATGCAGAAGATCAAGAAATATCAATAACTTACACAAGATGTTTGTTATGATGTCACAATTTCGTGACAATTCGGAGTCTTTTTTATGAAAAAGAAGAACAATGCTGAATTTATGCAGTTTTTCACCTTTATTTCCTTTATGTCTTGTTTTTTTTAAGGTCCATGGGAAGTTTATGTAATAAAGTTCGAAATCATCACAAATTGTGTGTTTCTTACTCATTAACTCAAATAAAGATGAACCCTGAAAAAATCAGTAAATAACTGTATAACTTTATCAAAATCTTTTCTTAGGTAAGTTCATGGAATAATAGTTCTTGGTCTTCCCACCCTTATTGATGTAGACAACAACTTCTTTGGCAGTCTTTGCTTCAAAGTTGCACAGGTTTGATTGTGCACAAGCCTTTTACAGTACTCAGGTGTTGGACTCTCAGGTTATTTAATCAAGGAATCTGTCTGATGGGTGTTGAAAAATTTAGATCCAACCCTCAAGCCTGCAGTGGCCTTTCTTACTCAGAAAATGCCTATTGTCTATCAATTTAACTGAATGCTTGGAGGATATTCCAATAAATATAAAACAAAATATAAAATAATTATTTCAAATTGATCTTACCATTAAACAATGAATGAGCCATCTGAATGAATACTTCTCCTGACAGATTAATGTCCCCCTTGCGTAACAATTCAATGGCAGTTTTCATGTATTCTTCTTTTTTAGAAAGATTGTGTGAGGACATAAATGCTTCCTGATCTGTCAGGATACAGCTCTCGTTTCCATTTGAACTAAAAATAAAATAAGATGATACATGTACAATATCAGTATAGAATTTTTCCATTACATTAAATAATGAATATACTATAGAAAATTCAATCACATTAATCTTGACCATTCAAATATGAATAAAAGGAGATGTGTAGTTAATGTCAATATGACAGCAAACCAAAAAACACATAAACAAATTAGATGTCACCATGTCTTCTGCAACATAGAATTATTTAGCTAGATCTTAATCTTGCAAGTTACAAAAGTTGTAAATAGAATTTAACAGAGACAGCAAAAAATCTGACATCAAAACTCAATTCCAATGTAACAGGGGTGTTTTTTAGTAAAAAAAAAAAAAGGGGACAACGGCACCCCCTGGTAAAACTCCTGGCTAAAGAATGAGGAATTAATTTTTCTTCGAATAATTTGTAATCAAGTAACAAACAAAAGCATTTCAAAGTCATGTCAAATCTGGTCTTACTCTGAATTTCTGTTCTGATACAAAACATTTAATTCTTTTCCCATCATTCTTATTGATAGCTGATCTGTCGACTTTTCACCTGAGTGTAAACCAAACGTTGGATCTGGATAACCTTTGGTTAGGTTAAGTGATGTACTTCCATTTCTAACCTTACCTTAAAAGATAAATGTAGAAAATTTAAACACAGTATCAATAATTTCAAATGTTTTTTCAATAAAAACTGTTTAAATGAAAGAACCTTAGTGAGCGCGCTCACATACCCCACGTCCCCACATTGTCATTGGAGAAATAAAATAAGTGTAAGAAAAAAAAATTGTATCAGAAAAAAAAATTGAATCATAATTTCCTGTCAATATGCAGATCTACATAGTATGTCCTTATTATCTACATAGTTTCATGAAATTCTGTTGTGTGGTTTGAGAGGAGTTGCGATGACAAAAGGTTGCAGTAGTATATTGGGCAAATAAGTTCAAAGGGGCATAACTCCTGGAAAAAAAATTGAATCGTAATTTCCTGTCGATATGCACATCTACGTAGTATGTCCTTATTATCTGAAAAGGTTCCATGAAATTCTGTTGTGTGGTTTGAGAGGAGTTGTGATGACAAAAGGTTGCAGTAGTATATTGGGCAAATAAGTTCAAAGGGGCGTAACTCCTGGAAAAAAAATTGAATCGTAATTTCCTGTTGATATGCACATCTACGTAGTATGTCCTTATTATCTGAAAAGGTTTCATGAAATTCTGTTGTGTGGTTTGAGAGCAGTTGCGATGACAAAAGGTTGCAGTAGTATATTGGGCAAATAAGTTCAAAGGGGCGTAACTCCTGGAAAAAAAATTGAATCGTAATTTCCTGTCGATATGCATATCTACGTAGTATGTCCTTATTACCTGAAAAGGTTTCATGAAATTCTGTTGTGTGGTTTGAGAGGAGTTGCGATGACAAACTGTTGCAGTAGTACATTAAAGTAAATAAGTTCAAAGGGGCGTAACTCCTAGAAAAAGAATTGAATGGTAATTTCCTGTTGATATGCACAACTACATAGTATGTCCTTATTAACTAAAAAGGTTTTGTGAAATTCTGTTGTGTTGTTTGAGAGGAGTTGCGATGACAAGAAACAGGACTGACGGACTGACGGATGGAGACAGACGGACGGACGGGTCAAAAACATCATACCCTCCGCAACTCGTTGCGTGGAGTATAATAAAATTTTATAATAGGGTAAAAAGCTGCTTGAGGAGCATATCCCTGCCCCACAACTACAGAACAAATCAGAAAATCATTAAAATGAAAAAAGTTTATATAATGAGATATTGCGGAGAAATGTTATTTCAACAACAAAAATAAGTTTTTCATATTACATGTGGAAAACTGTCCACTCATTTTTGTAAGTCCAACATCTCAAAAACAAAACTTAAGATATCTGTGTTCAAAAGAGGTACATTTGTAAATCATGGGTAAAACAAGAGTGCACACGCTGAAATGTCTCGTCCTTCTTTACTAACCATTGATTTTATGTTGATAGTCCTAAATATAAAGCTTTACTACAACTATCACATAAACTTAACATGATCCAAGAAAATGAGGTCAAGGTCAGATAAACCTAAATGGAAATACATGTACACCTTACAATCATTCCATACACCAAATATAGTAGACCTATTGCTTATAGTATCTGAGATATGGACTTGACCACAAAAACTTTACCTTGTTCACTGATCCATGAAATGAGGCCAAGGTCAAGTGAAAACTGTCTGATAGTCATGAGGACCTTGCAAGGTACGCACATACCAAATATAGTTATCCTATCAATCATAATCAGAGAGAAATTAAAAATAATAAAAATCTTAAATTTTTTTCAAGTAGTCACTGAACCATGAAAATGAGGTCAAGGACAATGGACATATGACAGAAGGAAACTTCATAACATAAGGCATCTATATAAAACATATGAAGGATCCAGGTCTTCTACCTTCTGAAATATTAAGCTTTTAAAAAGTTTGTTAACGCCAACGCTGCTGCAGCTGGATCACTATCCCTATGTCGAGCTTTCTGCGACACAAGTCGCAGGCTTGACAAAAAGGCTGGATGGTATTAAATTTAATGCAATTGCACAGAATGTCACACTTTTGAGTTCAATACAAATAAAATTATTGGTGTCAAGTATTTACATTAAAAATGTTGGATCATCTGCTTTCTGTTGTTGAATGATGGAAGTGCTTTCTTTATCTTCAATTTTTGGACAGGCTTTTCAATCCTGTTGACAAGAGGTGAACTTCTGGTTATCATAGATTGAAATTTGGTGAAAAAGTTGTTATCTATTACTATCAGGT